CCCCCCTCCCCCCCCCCCCCNCCCTCTTGACATGACGTAATTGTTGAATGACCCTTTAGGGGAAAAGCGTACACTTGTTTATGAAATCGTTATAAAATATAACACAAAATATTTCTTCTGTTACACTAAAATTTGATTAAATTTTATTACAAAGCCAAGGCCAGATAGACAATGTTACAAACGCCATTCACGAAATTTATAATTTATTTCCAAAAATAGTGTAAAAAATGTAAAAAAAATGCAATGATCGCATATGAAGACGTTCGCTACCGTGCTTCAGGTATTTCAACGGTGAATTTATTCTCTTAGGAACCTTCTCATGTATTAATAACATATTAATCGAAACACGATCTACATACGTATAAAATTAGAAAAGAAATGATAATACCGAAGCTCAGATAATTGAAATAAAAATTAGCGTTATACACATATCACCCGTACGAAAATGACTTTTAATATTGCATCTATAATTTTAACGATCAAACTTTACTTTTACGGTTTTAATGAGAAACGAGAAGATAAAAGATAAAAGACTTACAGAAATATTACAAAAAAAACTAAAAGATCGTTTGTTATATATGTGTTAATTAGTGCATATTTCTATTACGCACGTCTAATTGAAATTTTAATCATTATGTTCCTAGGGAATGGGACTGTGTTAGAGAAATCTTCTGTATTACTAAAATCTCTTTTGATATTGCATAATAGCTCTATTTTTCTCATTGTATTCCTTTTCTTTTTCGGGTGTATTCATTTTTCAACGTTATTTTTCTCTAATAATTGTATTTCCGTCTTGAATAAGATATACGATATAAATTACGGGAGTAGAACGTACTTTCTTCCTTTTTTATAATTATATAGAATATATAATCTTTCTTTTCAAAGCATTTGTGCTAAATTCTTAATTTCATGTTGAAAAATATACGTGTAAAATTTGTATTAAGAAAGAAAGATATATACTTACATCAGCAATTGTCTTTCCGTGATAGCTGTCGATGTGATTAATGAACACACGCCAGGGTTTAAAAGATGGTTTTCCATTTTCAATGGTCAAATTGCGATCCTCTTGTCGCTTTCCAGCTACTTCATCGCCAGATATATCATTTAAAGTATCCATGACAAATGTTGGCTCAGTTATTAATACCTGTTCTTCAATATCCATTTTAACTGCATATACGAAACGACCATATCGTAACCATACGATACTTTGTTACACAAAATCCGAGATATAATTTGACATTTATAGATTTTTGATATAACTTCAATCTGATTGGAAATGTGTTATGTCTATGTGCATGTAAAAGTCCACTTGATAAAAAAAGCATGGGAAAGTTCATAGTTGACTCTTTTCCGCGATGTTAATTGATTACTCCGAATCTCGATCTCGATCTCGATGCGAGTTCATTTCGATTCACGGCTGCTGCGAGCGGTTGTCATCGCAGTAATTATGCGTTTTGACAGTTTATATGAAAGAAGGTTAATATATTAGCGTCTGAGACAGTGGCTGCGTCTCAAAATTCACTATCAGCGTTTTAAATCTGTAATTTATATTACATATACTATAGATTTTCAGTACTGGTTATGAATAATCAGCACTGGTTATGAATAACCGATTAGAACGCAGCCAATGTTGACATGTCATTACACAAAGAATTAATTTTTATATTAGAACGAAGTTACGTGTTTTCCAGTAAAAAATATGATATAAGATGGTTAATGTGCGTACGTTATTAAACGAAAAACACAGATGTGGAGACAAAAAATTTCCTGCCAGAAATTCTAACTCGGTCAATTGCACTTACATATCTTAACCAAATAATTATTAATTATTAGAGAGAGAGAGAGAGAGAGAAAGAGAGAGAGAGAATTTAGCCGTGGGTGATCCCCTTGAGCATATAGTAATCGCATAAAGCTATATGACAAACTATATATAGCAAACTGCTGATATAATAGAAAGGAAAGCTCAGTAACTTAGGCAGAGCACGGAAATAACAGTTTTTTGCGTTGTCGAAAATACTAATACAGACCTCATAAGTGCAGAAGTTAAACTATAAATACCAGCACATCAACAAATTTGTAGCGAAGGACTTGAGCAGAATTTAATCCACGTACATTCCTCCATAAAATAAAGCCTACCGCTAATATAAAGCGAAATACGCGTTAAACAAGAATAGTCTGCATACAATGTAACTTGCAGATACCGATTACATACAAAGGGTGCGTTCTTTTACGACGTTTACGCGTTGTAAGCACTCACGCTTTAAGCGCGATTTTCAGCTGTTCCTTTTGGTTGTTAAGCGCTTACAAACGCTTACACCAAGTCGTTCCCTTTGGCATTTATGAGCGGTTGTAAACGCGTTGATGGCAGATAAAAAGCTGATTCCAATATCATTTGCTTAAGCATCGCACGCTAAACATTAAATTCTTTCCGAATTATACTAATATTAAAAAGATAATAATTAATATTATAATAGCACTAATACATTCATGTTTTATTTCTAAACGCCCGTAATATGATTTTACGAATATTCATATATATCATTTTATGATATGAATTTGATATTTGGATTAACTAAGAAGAAGCATCCTTTCTTACTAGCAGTTTATAACTTTAACTATAATAAACTTATCGGTTTCTAAACGTATTTCTTCCGGATGGGATCCGATGGACCACGTCTTTATTGACCTATATTGGTTAGACAACCCTAGAAAATCAAATCACTGGTTTGGCTGGCTGATTGTGGTTGGTGGTCAATTGCAACGTGATAAATTGGGATCTTGCTTTTGCCATGTATATTTCTGTATTCATAGGTTATAGATCGCTTCGTTAAATAATCATTAGTACGTTACATGAGATTTTAATTAAAAGTTTCTGTTTTGTGCAAAGCATAATTAAGAACCGCTCTCCCGATAAGGAAAAAGCTCCGGAGATGTCGAGAAATAAAACTTTGGTATTATCTGATCGTCGCGAGACAATCATAAAATAGTCTGGCAGTAACTCCGTAATTCACTATGTCTCATCAATCACTTTATCGTATACACCGTTATGTCCCGGTACGTGGCACGCAGAAGTATCTTGTAAATTATCCTCTGACGCTGGGGCATTTTTTTCCTGAATTCGTCACGCAAGCAAGGGCTTTTATTTAGTACGCGAATACACAACGTAAAAATGTTGAACGATGTATCGAATTTATTGCAATATTCCGTGACATTTCCATTATCAAAAGGCATTCGATATAACGTTTTTAGGTGCAATTTGTCGAAACAAAAGCAGAGACTTCACTTGAAACTTTTATATGCAATAACGTGACGGGTTACAATTTCTGCCGTACATCCGCCACTCGAAAATTTGCGTTATTGTTGATAACTTTGAGAGGATATTTTGTGAAACGTTCAATGTATAACAAGCATTATTTTTATTTGTGAAAGTAAACTACTGCTTGCAGAAACGCACGTCATACGCGATTCAACACAACGCGACGCCGCGCCCACGCGAAAGTTAGCTTGACGCGAGAAATCTGTTATCATAATAGTAAATGAAAACTTTGCAATGTAACAATAAAGCTGCTGTGCGCACGCTCGCGCCCTTGTTCGTCGCACAGCTCTATTTCATACGGGTTACAAGTGCGATCAAACAAAAATTCATGCATCGGTTATGTTTGCAGGTTTCGTTTCACAGTTTTCCAAGATAAAAGCTTTTGCGTGCGATATTCCCTTTCGCCGCCTTTTTTTCTTTTTAACGTTCCCCCTGAACAAATTTAACACAATTTGTCGTCCACACCATGTGGGTCACCGTTGTCCTATATTATAAGTAGAATTTATTTGTCAAATAACAATTGTATTTCATGATAATTATCAAAGTATTATATTATTGTGATTATATTTCGTTTTAGTCTGAAATGTCAAAAGATCTGATCAGGAAGTTTAGATAGATAGTGTAGAATCATATTAGATGCTTGAACTAATTCTCGTTGCTTTTTGCTACAAAACTCATGTTTATTTCAAAAGAACGGTATATTATATCTAATTCAAAGTATTGTACTTCGGAAGCTACTATCTTTCCCCACTTTTTGGGTAACATATGGATTCCGCGATAAAAAAATTCAAGTTCATTCGAGGCCATCCAGTCATCGAGCCATTTTTTTATATCTTCGAAAGCATTGAAGTATTACTCAGAAAGCCCATGCTGAAGAGTTTCGCTATACTTCGTTAGAATCGCCGCTCGCCTTGTTGAAGTTTTTCCCATATGACTCCATCGTTAACGTGGAGAGAGCACATTAAAGACCTGACCGCCAGAGAGACAACTGTATATAGTATACATAATAAACGGATATTTTTGTCAGCGTACCACGTCTACCGATCTGTTACTCCTTGTAGTTACTAGAGATAAAAAGTGAAGGAAGTGTGCGCGCCGATAATTTCCCCACAATGCACATTTGCTAGTCATATTTGCCATTAAGGCTCCTAGTTCCAGAGCTACAACGTCTTTGTTTAATGATATCAGAAGCGAGAAAACATATGTCAAGAATTCTTCTGTTATACATTCAAATAAAAAAAGATTTCCACAAGATATTTGTGATCGATTCAACACACTTATAAAATTGTCCGAACACTTTTCTTTTATTCGAACAATTAATAAAGAGCCGCAAAATTAATTAATTTGACATGAAACTTTCTTGTTTAACCTCATTTCATGATTTTGTCAATGTTAATGTTCATTGATTGTTTGAATAAAAGAAAAGTATTCGGACAATTTTACAAGTGTGCTGAATCGCTCACAGACAAAAATTTCCTTGAATTTACTCACCTATTTTTTATTTACCTATACTCACTTTGTGAGTATATCTTTTTACTTGGTCGTATAACGCAGGAATTTCTTCGCATGCGTTTCTCGTTTCGACGTCATGAAATAAGAACAGTCGCAGCGAAAGACCAGGAGCTTTAAAGTTTCAATTCAAAGTAATGAAATAATTTTCGCTAATGAGTGCTCTATTTTACAGAGGAATGGAGCGAGACTTTTCCATATCAGCTTCTGATAGGAGCAGGGGTGGCGTTGGTCGGTCTAGTTCTGTTAGTGGCAGTGAGTTACCAATGCTCTTCCACTTGGCGGTGGTTGGTTGGCATGACAAGACACGAGAATGTCGAGGATACCGAGACCGAGCAGACTCAACAAAATGCGATTCGTATCAGTCATTCTCTTCCGGATCTCCAGTCAGAACCGATCACCCACGAATATGTTCAAGAACAGAAGGAGAATAAAAAGGTATATCTTGTTAGCAGGATGGAACAAGCGAAGCATTTCCTTAGGAAATATAAATAAATATATCTCTAAACATTTAAGTATTGAAACCTTTTCTCCGAGATGCTGATTAGTTATTTTGAAATTTCGATCTCAATACAAATTGTTGCTTATTTCGACTTGTGATTATTACTTCGGTTATCATCGCGGATATTATGCGTTTTGACAGTTTGTATAGAAGATTCTATCAATGCAATTTATTCCTCAGGCATAGTGACTTCAAAAATTTCCAATCAAGTGCATTATTTCTGAGTATATGTGCGTCTTGACTGCTGCTTTAGAACATCATTGTCAACTTTATATATATATCTGCTACCAATCTGTTATCAGATTGTCGAAGGATCTGCTCAGTTTCTGTTTATCTAGCTAAATAATGCAATCCTGTGTTGTTTTATCCTGTGAAATTTGTGTAGTCAATTGTATTGTCAATATTAATATTGATTTTGCTAGGTGCTGCGACAAACTACTTTACCCATTGTGCCAATGAGACATCAAAGTTTCCAGCGTCAATTATCTCACCGACTTGATTTGCCTAATATTAAATTCAGCATCTGCAGCTTAGAAAATCGCAGCGACTCCAGCCTCGGTCTTATCAAGGTTAGTTATTATTTTCTACATATATGTAATATATATAGGAAAGTATCGAAATTCGTTATTTTTTGATTATTAATTATCGTTATTAATTATTGAGTTCTTTTCATATTATTTTTAAAGATCTTTATCTGTATTCTTTATTTAGGGTGTTCTAGAATAATTACATACGGAGTGCATCGTAAGATTCTTTGTATCAAAAGAAGAAATTTTTCGATTGTCAAAATTACTTTTAAATAAAAATTTCTAAATAAGAACTATTTAAATTTATCGAATAAGCGTATTAAATTGCGCTTAAGTTAGGAACGTCGCGCATTCCGCAAAACATTAAATGAGTCATAAAAGCTTCTTTTTCTATTCCACTAAAGATTTTATTTTGAATAAAACTTATTTGATACGAAAAAATGTTTTGCCGATGCCACAGAGTAACTAAAAAAAAGTAATATGCATAAACGATACAAAATTTTTTATATAAAATATTGTTCTAACGATATTTATAGCCTTGAAAAAGGCTGGTGGAATATTATTTAAATAAATTTCTTATACAAATAAGTTCTATTAAAAAAGTGATAAATTCACATATTATGAATAACTAACTAGCGTAAAAAAATCCTAATTAATAATTAAATCCTGGTGGAAGAAAAGTAGTCTACATGGCTTATTTGATATTTATCATTCTATGGAATGCTTATGACGTGCGTACAACGTAGTATACAACGTATTATACTAATCCAACAATTTTAAATAGTTTAATAATTATCATTCGAACGGAAAGGTCTTGGTTAAAAAAAAGTTACTTTGTATTTTACCAAGAATCTCACAGTGCACTTTACATACGATTATATACTTATAAAGAGTCCATATCAAATTGGAAACTTAAATGTGAACCAAACTAATAGTTTATAGGGGGGAGACTCCCTAAGCACAAATTTAGAATATTATATATAAATGGACAGCTATTCAAGTTATTAATGAAAAAAAATATTTCAGTGTCCGCATAGACCAATGTGACATATCTAACGTTTGATACGGTGCGCAGTAGCGCGGTAGGGCGTTTTGTTGCCGAGGCGTAAATGCGGGTTCGATTCCTTGTGTTTACGTTCTTTTTACAAGTATTTTTTTTTTAATAAAATAGTAATTCTTTAATTATTTTGTAAACGGAAAAGGCAATAGAAGAACGAAATAAATTTTGAAATAATCAAAACTTCAAAATTTCTAAATTAAAAATTGGATTTTTTATACAACTTAAAGTTAATAGTTTAGTGGCAAGGAAAGATATATCAATATTAATTGACAATCAATTTTTTCCTAAATAAATATATTTATTAACATCGGGTGTGATTTACCAGAACTAATATTTATACTTATACAAGTATACTGATATGCAGTATCCCGCGTCCCACGGTCTGGCAACTTTGGGCATTGCAGCGTGTGACCATCGACATATAGTACTGGAAAGCACTGGGCCGAAATCGTATTAACAGATTTAAAAAGAGACAAGAAAATATGTGGATAGGAGCGGCTTATAGAGCAACGCAGCCATGAGGCATTTATAATTCTATTATTTTAATTAATTGTTTTTATAACAGTAAAAATATAGGACACCAGGATATAAGAATATAAGGAAGAAGGAAAAGTTGAAATATAAAAATGTTTATAGAGTATATAATGTATATTATATTGCTCGTATATAGTAACGTCAAGAATGTCCCCAACTTTTAAGAATAGGATACTGTTCCCCTTCTCCTTAGACAAAATTCAACTATTGAACAAAGAGTAGAAACAGAAATCCGTGTCTATACATCCAGCTCTCTCTTTCTAGGTCTCTCAATATGAAAAATCAAAAAAATCTTGCCGCATGCTCCGTCCAGAACTATATATCAATGCGTGTGACGCAGAACAGCGCCTCGGTCGAAGCAACTTTTTCTTAAATGGTTGTGGAGTTCGGCCTATCGCTTTCTGTGCGCACAGTGGCTTATACAAATTAATTATCTTCACATTAATTATTGCAAATTTTGCAAAATAGTATATGACTTCTCTATTCAGTTTAACCCGTTCTATTTACAAGTACTTGTACGAAAGTTTTTAAATATCTCGTATGTATGTACAATTAAATATAAGCATATTGTAAATAATTAATATAGTATATAACTTATATAACATTATTATTATTACATTTTAACAACTTAGGTATTCAAAAAATTTATTATATCAGTTCTACAAAAAATGTTTTAATTTCTCGAAAGTGTCGAAATCTCCATTGATCTAATATAAAATCAGTAATTTACTCTTACATGTATGTATACAATTTATTGTTAAATGTTTGTATTTCGTGATTTCCATTGCTCTATAATTAAAGTTCAAATTTATAATCAAAATTATAATAAAAATTTGATCTATTTTAATTAATAGATTCTAGTAAATAATTAATATAATGTACGAATGACTGAAATTATACAACTGCTGATGGTATCCTATATATGTAAATCATTATCATAGCCGGAACTATATAAAAAAGAACTTCTGAGACAAGACAGCGCGGAAAGCTCAAGCACGGTGGAAATGGAATACGCCGGGAAATTACATTTTGCTCTTCGCTACGACAAAGAAATGGATGGGCTTGTTGTTAAAGTAAGTACAATAAATCACTTAAAAATTTTACTATAAACCTACTACAAATTAAATTAAAACTTATTGTATTGTATTGTATTGAAAATTATTATGAACATTAAATTTGTACTTAACTTTTTGAAAATAAACCTTGAATTTCATGAAAAGGGCAACAAATTAATTTATATACCTAATATATTAAGTTGGGGAAAAAGAAATCCATTATTTTTACGTGAACTTCAAGACTTTATTTAACATGTTTCGGATTGTCCGATTTGGGTCAAATATGCACCGTTTTGTTTTATAATTTGTTGCCATTTTAAAGGTAACTTCATAATGCCTCTTTCATAGAAGTCTTGGTCCCTATTGGCGAAAAACTCTACTAATCGATTTTCACAATCTTTTCTTGATGCCAATTTCTTATCAATAAAGAAGTTTTGCAATGCAAGAAAAACATGGTAATCGCTTGGTGCCGGACTATATGGTGGATGCATCAAAACTTCCCAACCAAGCTCCCGGAGTTTCTGGCGAGTCACTATAGATATGTGTGGCCTGGTGTTGTCCTGATGAAACACAACACCTCTCCTGTTGGCCAATCCTGGCCGTTTCTGGTCAATCGCTAGCTTCAAACGGTCCAGTTGTTGACAGTAGAGATCCGAATTTAGTGTTTGGCCATATAGAAGCTACTCATAATAAATGATTCCTTTCCAGTCCTACCAAATGCACAGCAGAACCTCCCTGGCCGTTAGTCCTGGTTTGGCCACCGTTTGAGCTGCTTCACTGCGCTTTGACCACGATCGTTTTCGCACAATGTTGTCGTGTGTGACTCATTTCTCATCCCCAGTCACCATCCGTTTAAGAAATGGGTCGATTTCATTCCGTTTGGCCAAGGCTTCGCAGATGGAAATTCGATCCATCATGTTCCTTTGTGTTATTGGTGTGTCACCCAAACATCGAGCTTCTTTTTGAATCCAGCTTTGTGCAAATGGTTTAAAACTGTTTTATGGTCGATCTTTAACTCCTGGGCGATGCTATGACTACTAACATGCCGGTCAATTAATTCTGTGATTTTATCGACATTTTCGACGACGGGCCTACCTGTGCGAGGTGCATCTTTAACATCAAAAATACCTGAACGGAATCGACGAAACCAAAATTGCACGTAATTGGCTATTACAGTATCGGCACCATTCACAATTACAGCCGCCTGGCTTGCATTTTCGCCTTTATCAAAGAAAAACTGTAAAATGTACCGAATTTTCTCTTTGTTGACTTCCATTTTTAACACCCTGTAACTCACAACTGAATGTACCAAACAAAAAACAACAAAAGAATTTTTTTAGTGCAAAATGTCATCTTTCTAACGAGCATAAATCTGAAATTGTTTGATCGATACTTTACGAAATATCGATCATTACAGCCATCTACTGAAAAAATAATGGATTTCTTTTTCCCCAACCTAATATTTTACGTTATTTAATTCTTTTTATTAACTTTGTCTGCCGTTTAATTTTTTTAACGTTAGGTTTTGCAAGCTCGTGAGTTGCCTATAAAAGATGTAACAGGCAGCAGCGACCCGTATATCAAAGTGTATTTGCTGCCAGACAGAAAGAAGAAATTTCAAACTAAGGTACATCGAAAGAATTTGAATCCGATATTCAATGAAACGTTCATTTTTAGGTAAGACATATTATAATGTAATGTCGCCTTTGTTTTCGACGGTTTACTTTCAATATTTGATATTATTTACTTCAAGTAATATAATTTACATAAAAAATGAGAAGCAACGTACTAAACTCTATAATATATTTATTAAATTTATTATTATATCAGTGTATCGTACGAGGAACTAAGGGAACGTTACTTACAATTCTCAGTCTACGATTTTGACCGGTTCTCACGTCACGATCTTATAGGACAAGTGGTTCTTAAGGGACTTTTAGACTGTACCGATCTTGAACAAGAAATTGAATATACAATGGATATTCTCTGCGCTTTACAGGTATTTTACTTTGCGTGAAATGAAAAATTGATAATTTCATAATAGTTAATCATGATAAATATTTTTAATTAATTTTTCAATGTCATATAGGAGAAAGTGGATTTAGGAGAATTAATGTTATCTTTATGTTATCTGCCGACGGCTGGTCGATTAACATTGACTATAGTCAAAGCTAGAAACCTTAAAGCGATGGATATAACAGGAAAATCAGGTAAGTACAGAATCAGATATTTTTTTGCGGTATTTATCGATGACATAATTTTACCACGAATACGATAATAAAATCGAACTTATCGAAGGTATAACTCGAAAAAATTTAGCGGACCAAATTTCTTTTGTTTCTTCTTTAGATCCTTATGTAAAAGTCTACTTGCTATGTCAAGGAAAAAGAATAAAGAAAAAAAAGACTACGGTGAAGAAGAATTCTCTTTATCCTGTATACAATGAGGCACTCGTCTTCGATGTTCCCGCAGACAATATCGAGGATGTCTGTCTTATAGTAAAAGTAATCGATTACGATAGGTAAAAGAAAATTTCGTCAGCCATTGAAGAATTTTTTTTAGTAAAAAAAGTAAAACATTCCTCTCACTCTCCCTCCTTCTCTCTCTCTCTCTCTCTCTCTCTCTCTCTTATTTCTTTCTTTCTTCCCCTGAGATATAAATTTAATATTTAATCTATATTAGGATTGGACCGAACGAATTAATGGGATGTACAGCTATTGGATCGAGCTTCATTGGTATTGGACGCGATCACTGGTTAGAAATGTTAGATAATCCTAGAAAACCGGTGGCGCAGTGGTATCCATTGATGGAAACTGTGGCTGGTCACATTCCAACGGTGGATTCAGAACCACTTCCAGTGAGCCTGAGTTGCTTGAACAGCAGGTGAGTTAAAATCGAATCTGCCATTTGCGCGATCGCAACTACGTTGTTCTTATAACTCTTTACGTATCTTGAGATGATAAGAATCTCAAGCTCATGATTAACTTCTTCTAATTAAGTTTGCGTTACAGATGAAGACAGTAGGCGGGAAGCAAACATTGTGAAAGCTCGGGAATGTTGTCGGACGCCGGCTTGGACATCGTCTCCTTCTGTCGTCATCTAATGCACATTGCTTGACTGAGTTAAGTACAACCTCTATCTCGAAGGCGCACCGTACTTGCAACCTTGCCTCGTGCAGCAGACATGAAGTAATAAACGACCCGTCATATAAACGAATCTGATTACTCACATGGAAACACACACGTACGTTACTCATTTCCGATTATCGATGGTGACCGCGACGGAAACGAGATTCATTTGCGTTGTTTTGTCTTTTTAAGTGGCATTATATTATAGTGCAGGCTGGCCCCGCACCATTTAAGATAAATGTAGTTGGATTTCAATAGCATTTTCTTGGTAGAATTTTGCAACCACGTGATGTTGAGCATGACGATAGCTTAAATGTCTTTAATGCGATTAATGCGTGGAATCACAACTAATTAAGTTTTTATAGACGAAAGATATATAACGCGACGAATTCGTAATTCGAGCGCAAAGCGTGAGAAGCATACGGCCTTACCTTAGATGAAGGTGAGACAAATGGGCGAGAATGCAGGTAGACTTGGAAACGATGGATTTTATCGACGGCAGAGTACAATCGAATCATGATAAACTTTTAAGATATCACAGAGATAGGATAGGCAAATGTGTCGAATGCACGCATCATTTCTTATTTTACGCTCGCTAACCACTTCTGTTCAAGTGTCTAATACGATGCGTGTGTGCATATGCGCGCGCGTGTGTGCATACGTGCATAATGAGCGTTTTATTAATAATTATCAAACACTGTACACTAACACACACACACAAACACGCCTGTATATATGCACACACACAGGCACACACACACAATGATGCATACAAACAAAGTATTTGACGATAAAGGTAACAATGTTCTTATGCAAGTAAATTGAATCAAGCTAAACAAAAAAATCTATCATTTTGCAAACAACGTAAATTTTTGCATTATTAATTAAAGAGGATTGTCAAAAAAAAATGGTCATATGTGTAGACGAGTTCTCTCTCTCTCTCTCTCTCTCTCTCTTTCTATCCAATGGTCTACGAAAATATTTTTTTATCAAAACTTTTTTTTTAATTTGTATACAAGCGTATTTTCACTTCAAGCTGATATAAATGCAATTTTATGACTATGTGCTATAATCACATATTCATAAATGTTGTTATTTATTATTCCTTTTATTGATAAATGAGTGATATGATGATACTAAAAATATTATGCTAAAATATTGTTAACTCAAAAATAACGATCACATCTGTCACGCTGTCAAAAATATGTTAAAATATGTTAAAATAGTGGCTGTAGCATTATATACTCAGAAAGCAAAATGTTAGCAATATATCGGTAGATTGGCAGCAGATTCAATCAGAATAACATGCTGGATGCATAGCAATCTTCGTCCACATTAAGTTTGTGTCCTATCAATAAAGCCTGCTGATGTAACTTGACAGCAGATTGGCGACAAAAACTGAGCAGGATCTCCAAAATGTTCCATTTAAATTTTGACGAAATGACAGATCCTGCTCGGTTTTTGCTATCAATTTCTCCTTATATTCTGTTAGCAGATTCTGCTGTGTCTGCTAGTAAACTGTTGACAAAATTTATAGCAGATGTTGCGCAAAATCTATTTCTAGTGGTTTAGCTATCTGGGTATATTTAATACAATAAAAGAATATGCCTCGCAAAAATAAGTAATCCCACATTATGTTGCGCTTTTCTTGTTTCTAAAATAAGATAATATCTAGATTTGTTGTTGAAATAAGTATAACTTTAAAATGGGAAAATATTTTCTTAACAATAATTCAGGGAAAGTTTTAGGAATTCCTGACTTTCTAAAAATAAATTGTAATATAATCGTCAAAATTTACAATAATAATATTTTTAATATTTGTTTCGTATCTTTGTGCGCTTTTTGAAAATAATTGTCTTTTTTTTTAATTCACTTAACATTTCTCCATATCTCATAAAGAATCCATGTTCTATTGGATTCTGTATGAGGTTTGGAAAGATTTTAGATTTCAGAAAATACTCGACTAAATAATGTAAAATCCTTCAAAAATATTTAAGAATATTGTAAAAAAATGGCGCAACTTTAGAAAAAACTAATCATACGAAAATCGAGTTATGCTGTATTTATTTAAAAAGAAAGTGGGGTAAATATTGAATCATTTATAAATAGTTACTTTTTCCTTTTGAAGACTTTTTTCTTTTGACATTATTCGTTTATGAAAAAATATTTTCATCTAGATTCAAAGTGTTGGTCAAACATTTTTACTTGCAAATCATTGTACTTCATATAGATAGTATTTAAATCCTATTCACCGCTCGCCCATTGGGAGCCAAGATATAAAGTGCCTTTCGTCGCTCGCAACTTTATTAATCACGCAACTCGTTTACCACATTGTGCGCCATTATTCTCCAATTTTCTTTAATTAATAATTCAAAAATTTATGTTGCTGTTTGCAAAATAGTAGGGCAACTTTTTGTCCAGTTTGATCCAATTTATATGTACTGGATATTGCATCAGCATATAGCTCATTACGGCGGATTTGTCTACTAGTTTCACTGGCATGCATGTGATTGTACATAAACTCAGCAGATCTTGGCGGTATACTCGCTTGTATACATTTTTCTCCAATGACTAAAGGTTTGTTCGTTTTACTTGCACTTGTTGCATTTATGTTCTGGTAAGTTTTTGGAAAATTTAAAAAGTATAATGATCCATTTAATTACTTAGTAATTTATAACTCACACGACTGATACCCATTTCTACTATTATGGTTTAAATATAACAAACAAATTAACTCAGTGGAATTGACTAATTGAATTGGTCAATGCGATTAGTTAATTCCGTTGAGTCATTTGTTGATTATATTTAAACCATTACTGTAAAAAACGGGTATCCCTTACAAAAATTATTACTGGTAATCACTGAGGAAAATATTAATGATTAATTATTAGTACTTCAGTGATTTTTTTACGAATTATTGCAGGAATTAATTACTGCAATCACAGAATATTGTTTTCAGCAAAATTATATTGACGTAAACAAGATAAAACAAACTAATATCAGATTACATTATTTTAAAAAATGCCACTTTATATGTTGCATTTCTCATCTCTCTAATGTGTCGCTGAGTGGTTTCGATCCTGAAGTGTCCTTACAGAAAAAAATATTATTAGCTGAAGTAATAAATTATTTTAATTCGGAAATTTCATTATTAGTGCCCTATGATTTTTAATATTTAAATCACAGAGGTACTAATAATGTAAAATAAGTGATAATAACAATAGGGATAATCATTGATCTACTACAGAGCTCTAGTGATAAATTACTCAGATAGTCAAATATTTGTAAAGTTGCTGTTGTATTATCGCCAATTGTTGAAGCAACTATTTTCAAGAAACTAGGAACAAAGTGAAACAGCATTATGTCTGCCACGTTGAACTCATGTAAATTCTAATTCTGTCAACGATAAATTGATAACAACATGTTGACATTTGCCGTCAATTTGTTATCATAAAAAAATCTCTCATTCTAAAAAAGTTAATATTTCTTATTTACACTCCTTTTTACAGCGTTGTTCTTGAGCTGTTATCAATAATTTCTTGCGAAATTTTCTCAATTTCCACTTAATTCCACTCAATTTGCCACTTAATAGATTCTATTTATAATTATATTTCAAATCTTCGCTTGTCACTGGTCGGGATCGAACTTAGGATTTCCAAGTTGTAAATTAACTGCTTCTCATACTATACCATCTCGCCTTAACTGAAAACTCAATTTCATATTGTCTGTATATAGTTCCGATCTCTATAGGATACTTATATTTTATAATAGAAATATATAATATTATTATGTAAATTAGTAATCTTTTAACCTTTTTGTCCCTGAATATAAGCAATCTCTTTCTGATAAAATATTAGGTATGATTTAGTTAATTTAGTATCAAATAATATAATTTAGCTTTCAAGTGTTTTGAGACATTGATGGTACATATGTGTCCCATTCGGGACGAAAGGGTTAAATGTTATTAGTAATATGTAAAAAAGAGATAATATAGCTTTTTAAATATTTTTATCCAAGTATACGTTTTCTGAAATGTAATAAATTATATCAAAAAGGAATAACACAATAGCGAGATGGTTACAGTAAGACTCAATCATTTACTTCCCAAACAGCACAATGTCCAAAACTGCGACATAAAATATCTTTAAGATATCTTAAAGATCTTATATCTCGATATTGGACATTGTACTGTCTGGATTGCTTGTAACATACCATCATTACTAGAGTGACGTAGAGTATGTAAGACGCATTCTTCAATCGCGAATAAAGATATTCACTTCACGACATAGAGTAAAAATATTCATTCCACGGTACGGAATAAAATGTTTGATCCACGATATGGAGTGAAATAATTCACTTCATAAGAATGGAAAGTCACTCCAATTCGAATGACTCGGTTGTTACTTTAGTTTCCGAGGAAAAATTTCGTTATGAGAAATTTAAAACACGTCGTAGTACCAGACAAAAGATATCTTCGCGCTTTTCAACGGCATGTGCCGTTGCGTCTTTTATATCAGGATAATTTTTTTGTCGAAATCTCCTTGTCAAAAAGTTGTCGTAAACTTACAACAATTTCATATTGTTAATAATTTAGCACTCCGATATTCACAGCCAATTTTGAAAATCTATTGTATTCGTAATAGGAACTATAGATGTTCAGTACTATGGCAGTGAGTATTGGCAGTCTTTGTCGACAATGAGAGAGATACAATTAAAATACGTCAAATATTGAAAACATATACGCAACATCGGATGGGAATCATTGTATTTATATTATACTAAACAATCTAATACATAACACGTGTTATTATATGTCAATTTAACGGACATCCTCTATATATGCAATCAATGCAAATAGTAATAAGTTGAATTAAAAATTAATAACAATAAGAATATAATATATGATACATAAAAAATATATATGAATAAATTTTAAGTTTCCACAATTATTATTTTTACAGTATACGTTAAAATATATTTCTTAAAATATAGGGAGTGTACGGAATTTCTGCAATTTATTGCTATAGTACTGCGGAAAAATTAATATATTGTTACGCTCGCGCGGGGAAATAAAACGAAACAACGTTAACAAGAAAACAACTTCAACTATATTTACTATTTACAAGGGAACACACGTAACTCGCAGACTTAAGCTCTCTCTTTCGTTAAAGACCGTCGCGCACGTCACGACGACTCCACGGCCCCAAAAAGAATCCTTTTTACCCGTTGTTTATTAGTCAACGCTGATCATCTCTTGTTTACGACTCGTTGCTAAGAGAATCTGCTGTATGTTCAGGGCGCTAAAGGCGCGGGCATCAAGACACGGGCGTAACAATATGTATATTCACGCAAATAATATATTTACTTTGTAAGTGTAATGTTACGCTCGCGCGGGGAAATAAAACGAGACAACGTTAAGTGGGAAACAACTTCAACTATATATTTGCTATTTACAAGAAAGCACGCAGACTCAAGCTCTCTCTCTCTCTCTCTCTCTCGCAAAAGACCGACGCGCACGTCACAGCGACTCAACTGCCCCAGAGAGAATCTCTCAAACCCGTTGTTTTTCGGTCAACGCTGATCATCTGTTGTTTACTACTCGTTGTCAAGAGAATCAGCTATATGTTCAGAGCGCTAAAAGCGCGGGCATCAAGACACGGGCGTAACACTGCCCCCTCCTTAAAATTGTCGTCCCGACAATTGAAACACAGCTTCCAAGATCCTCGACGCTTCCCGTACTACGAACACGGACTCCAGCCTGTGCTAACGTACGGCGTCGACATAGGATCCATCTCCAAAACGCTTCCTGGGACCACAACGCTTCCTATACGTCCTGCGACGTATCAGTTCCCAATTTCAGGACATTTCCAAAGACCACGACGCTTCCTGTACTACCATGGA